GAACGAGAGAGAGAGAGAGAGTTGGAGGGAGGGAGAGGAGAAGGGGGGTGCCTTTCTCTCGCACACATCACATACACACACAGTCTGGATTCAATGGACTTAGTGCTCCACGAGAAGTGAACTGATTACCGTCGGGACATCATGCTTTCGCACCCGCGAGCCAACCCTATTCTACCCCCCCCCCCAAAATCGAAAAAAAAGAACAACAGAGAAACGGGCACAAAAGATGCGCGCAAAAGAGGACAACACCTTCCATCGGAGCGATAACAGACGGCGCTATCGCGACTATCGCGCGTGGACAAACAACTACCTGTGACTCCCCCCTCTCCCTGCCCCTGCGGACGAAAACAAGTCCCGTCGTGCAATGCGTGTTTGTCATTCGGCACACTACACGCTCCTGCGATAAGAAGGGTCCTTGCTGTCCTCACGGCGGACAAATCGGCAATCATGCAGGCACATTGCAATAAGGGATTTGCAGGCGTGGCACTGAGGAGGCGTTCAATCGGGAGAACAGCAGAGGAGGGCAGTCTCTCTTGGGAGTACCAGGACATGGTGGACAGAAAACAGTACAACACACTACGAAGTGGCCCCGAACCACCGAACCACCCAAAACCATGAGAAAACGGCGCCCTCTCTCTCGTGCGCAGTTTTCAAAGAAAACTGTGCTCCAATGCCAGGGGGCGGCTAGTGTATGGACACTGTAAGTGTATAATAGACAACTTCACTGGAAAATGCGACTAGTAATCGAAATAGAAATGACAATTTTTTTTAAAAAAAAAAGCACAAGTCCACACCAGGACGTCTTACGTCTTTGCTCCGAGTAAATGTAAAATCAATTTCAAAAATAAATGAAAAATGACCTACGGCCCCTCAGTGAAGCAGTCTATTATGAGTTTATCCGCAGCACGCACGCACACGCGCACGAACGCACGCAAAAGCACACACACACACACACACACACACACACACACGCAAACGTTAGAGGCACTTGACAACAGAACAGAACTCACCGTAATATTGATGGAGTTGTAGAGGAAGCGACAGAGTCTCCGTCGGGTGCAATGTTGAAATCCGTGACTCGAACGTGCAGAAAATCAATCACAAATCCCACTGGCTTCCACACTGATGGGCGTGCTGGAGTTGTCACACACTGTATCACTCGGTATCGGCGATCTTTGCTTTGTCTTGTCCAGAGCTCCTCCCGAGGTCCGCCCTCCAGCCCTTCTCAACTACGAGTGACGTGACGAGAGCGCAAGGAAGGGTCCGGGGTCCGGGGGCTGGGCCGGGCTCCGGGGTACTGAGGGGCGAGGGAGGGGAGGGAGGGCAACGAGGGGAGGACAGCGCACCCGGAGCGGGAGGGGAGGGGAGGGGGCGCGCGGCAGTGGTGGGGGTAGGGTGGGCCCCGGGCGGGGCGTGGGGTGTGCAGCGGGGCGCGGCCGCGCGCCTGGGAACTCCCCGCGGGACGTACGCCCCCGGCGTCCCTCGGTGGGTATTGCCTACATCTCGGGAGACGAAAAAAATTCCCCGTCCCTTAAAAAAATGAAATGAGAGATTGTGGGGGGGGGGGGGACTTTCAAACTGGAACCAAGAAAAAAAGGCACACCGTTAGCAAAGTCAAATGAAATTGTCACCCTGTTCTTAGATCAAAGTGATCAAATTGAAAAGCTGAAATTACTTGATTAGAGGCTCGCCGCGCCGTCATGATTAAATATAAAATTAACAAAACGGGAACCGGCAAAGGAACAGCACCTCGACGAGCCGAGTTCTCTAAAGTCGAAGACTCCACTTACCTCTTACCACTGCCCTGCTGGATTTAAAATTGAGCCTACGAAGTTGACGTCAGCTGCACTCCGGCACGGTGACATTTCTATGACGCGTCGATGATCTGCGCCGATTCGCTGTCGACTCTGTGTGTTCTCACCTGCCGCGCGCCGTGGCCGCGCACCGCTCTCGACATGTAGGCCTACCTGTTTTTTCTGTTTTCCCCCTCGCGTCGGCGGCAATTTTCCCGCGCCGGATTTCCCGGGCGTGGTGGGGCGCTCCGCGTTGCTCCGTGACCCCGCGAGTGTTTGCCCCGTTTGTTTGCCCACAGAGGGAGATTCCCGTACCCCATACCTGCAGCAGGGGGGCCGAACAAGAAGAGCGTTCAACGTTCGTCACAACGGACACAACTTGAAACTCGACCAAGGCTCGTTATGTTTAGAGTATGTATCACGCTTTGCAGTGTGGTACTGTACTACAGTTTTAACTTGAGACTTATGGCATTGCACTTTATAACTGTTGGACTGTACCACACTTAAGTAAAAGTAACGTTACAGATAACGCATCGACGGGTACTATGGCAGTATCGTTCGTAAAGTGTTTTGAAACGTAACGTAACCCCTGCCCTCACCCTCTATCCCTCAATAAATCGGCGAGCGTACCAAAATGGTTTTCACAAAATTGAAAAGGATTGACGCCCTCTTTGGCGGCGTGTGGTTTTCGTAAACAATACACACCATGGGATATAGTCAATACGTTTTATTCAGTTAAATGCAAAATACCAAACGCAACACACAACTAACAACAACGAAACACAGCCACACAAGAAGTCAGAGCAGGGTTTCCAATCCTGCTTCATACTCTCTCGGGTTCGGGCCAGCAGCAGCGCCGACGCCCGCTCCTCCTGCAGCAGCTTCTGCAGGCCCGCGGCCTGCCGCAGCGCAGTGTCCCGCTCCCGCTCCTCCATCGCCGTCGTCAACATCTCGTCGATCTGCCGCAGCCGCTTCTCGTCCTCCCTCTCTGACTCCAGCAAGTTCTGCAGCTGCCTGCCTAGTTTCTCCGCGTTAACCCGTGCCGTCTCCCGCCCCTTAAGCAGGATCCCCACTAGCGCCTCCACCTGCTCCCGCGCCGCATCCCGCTCCTCCAAAGCCGTCTTCCGTAGCGCCCGCTCTTCCTGAAGCTGCTTCTCTAGCGCCCCCAGGCGCTGCTCTGCCGTCTTCTCGAGCCTCCTCAGCTGACTAAATACCCTGCGTGCGCTTTCGGTGGGCGCGTCCCGCTCCTCCAAAACCTTCTTCCGTAGCGCCTGCTCTTCCTGTAGCTGCCTCTCTAGCGCC